TGTTATAAAAGTTAATCGATAGATAATGTCTTATACTCTTAATAAAGTTTAAAATGTTGATAGGGAGGAAGAAGAATTTTGAACTTTAATGATGTTATTGAGTTTTTAAAATTTAAAAAAAAAAATCATAAAAGTAGATAAAAGCCTATAAATATTTTTTTATATAAATTTTTATAGACAATTATAAAATTTACAAAATTTAATAGAGATTTTATGAAAGTCACTAAAAATTTATTAAAATTCATCATTTTAATTTTTTTTTTTTTTAAGTCTACAAAAGTTATGATTGTAAAAATTTATAATTGTAAATTATGAAGTATACTAGTTACCACACGCGCATTGCGCGAATAGTCTGATGCCCTATGTGTATTTTTAAATTAGTGTTTCATAATTTATCAAAGTATCATTCCGTATCTTGGCATATATCGATGCATGATTATCAAATTTTTCATAAAAATAAATATTTCAAGAATGCATGACTATGACATGTGGAAGAAATGTTGGATTAATTTGTGCATTAATAGCAATTTTAGAAAGAAGCACACTCATTGAATAGTACCTAAGCATAGTTTTTGCAACACAAAACCTTATTAATTGGTGTGATTCATGCTTCCTCTTGTTGCCACTTCCGCCAGAAATGAATTCTTAATTTGATGGTTTAATTTAGTCCCTTGGTGTGCTTTAGTGCAATTTTAGTACCTTGGTGCAGTGCACACTCAAAAATAGAACTAAATCATCCTTCCCCAAAAAGACAATGATAATAGACATAGTTTCTCATATGTGTTGAATATATAATGTAAATTAAGTGTACCATTTCATCAATATCCAGTGCATGGTTATAATTAATTGATCAAAATTCATGTTAAATATTATATTATATTTTTTAAATACACTCTAACATATTCATAGTATATGTTTAATAGTTATATCAATTTTGATTGGGATGGGTTCGAACCAATTCAAAGACATTCATTGTGAAAATCAATGAGTAAGTTAAGAATAATCAATAGTTAATAGAATATTCTGTTACTAAAGTTTATACTGACGGAATACATGGGTATTTAGAAAAAGTAAATGATATAATAGAGGATAAAAAAATTAAAAAAAAATAAAAATACTAAAATAAAAATAATATGAACAATTCATTTCAACAAATTAAACAATTATACCAATATTTTTTAAATTATGTTAGGGGCTTTAACTTTATCGGCTCTTATTAGATTTTTAGATTTAGATTAGATAAATATAAATTATTTTAATTCATTAATTTGTTTCGATTAATAATAATAATAATAAAATAAACTAAAACAAAATCTGCAGTTTTAATTTGTCAGAATTCGCATGTTCTCTAATTATCGTGGTTTCGTAACAAAAATCAGAAACACAGCACATGTGAAATACAGTTCAACTTTTAAATAACTTATCCCAAATGCCAAGTATCTTGTGCTCAGATGGCATGTAGTGACTTATTTCATTTGGTAGGTCATGAGATCGAAGCTCATGGTTTTGTTAGTAACAACTAATCACAAGTACACGCTAATGACCTTGTGATCTAGTGGCACCAAGTTGCTATGCGTGAAAAAATGCCTAATAAACAAAAATAGAGGTGAAATTATATAATTAAAATAAATGTAAAATTATATATAATTATTATGAGAAAAATTTTATAAGAGATAATATAAATAATAAATATTCTATGCATAAAGAAAAAATTAAAAATTAAAAATCATTTGTAAGTTTACAAAAAAGTAAGCACAATGTACAAGTGTTTTTATATTTTAATGGAGTTATTTAACAATGTTGACAACTTAGGAGAAAAAGAAAAAAGAATGACAAAATTGAAAAAATTAGGGGTGGGTGTTTCGGGTTTCAGTTAGATTTTTTTTTATTTTAAAAAAAATTAAATCATTCGGTTTAACATTAGAGTTCGGTTCGATTTGAAATGGTTCAGTTTCGATTCGGTTTTAGATCCCTAAATTTCAACATTTCCTAATTTTCCAGACATACTACCAAACAATACATATTCACAAAATCACATAATCCAAATCCAACGTCTAAACATTATATAACAAAATAGCAATCCAAAGTCCAAACACAATACTAAGTATGGTTGAAAAAATTGCAAGGGGCTCCTCAAGTGCTCAAGGGACGCCTAGGCGGGGATTAATCAGCGCCTAGGCGGTCGTGTATTTTTTATTTTATTTTTTATTTTTTAAAAATATGTTTAAATTTTTTAAATTTGTTAAGACTTGATAATTATAAAGTATTTAATACTTTAATAGTTAATACTAAAATATTAAATATTAACCTAAAAATATTTAGAGTTTGAACAATTTAGGGTTATTTTGTTTAAAACGATGTCGTTTTGAGTGAAATAACCCATTTAAAAAAAATGAACAATAGCTAATCGCCCGACTAGGCGACCTAGGAGGCCTAGGCGGTCAGCGCTTAGGCGGCCTAGTCGGCCGCCTAACTAGTCAGCCGCCTAGACCACCGATTATAGATATATAGATTGTCCTATTGTTTGGGAGAAGAATAGATTGTCCTATTGTATTACGAATATGAATTTTAATATAGAATTATAGTACGAATAGGAAAGTTTGAAACAATATATTCTATTAGGAATTGTATTACACTACTTTATAATATTAGAATAGGAATTTTAACCTAAAATTATAGTACAAATAGGAAAGTAGAAAACAATATAGGAAAGTGAGATTTTTTAAGAATGGAGCAGAAATTAAAATTCCAAATTTTGCTTTTATATATAGTATAGATAGATAAGACACTTTAACTTTCTAAAAAACATGAATCTAATGGACAAAATATTTTGCTAGTTATTGAGCTAAATATAAACTAATGGAGATTCTATATTATATTATAATAATTTATCTCGTGCGTGATTAGATATTAATTATTGGATAAATGGATAAATATTACTTATACAATGCATGTGAGATGTGTTTTGAATGTTTGGATATGAAGACTTGTCGATCTTGTGAGATTCATCGTTTCTAAAATTGTTTATAATTATAAATATAGAATTCAAAAATTATGAACATAGAGTTTTAGAATTATGAACATAGAGTACTACAATTATGGACATAGAATTTTGTAATTGTGAATATAGAGTTCAATAATTGTGAATATGAAATTCAAAAATTATGAACATAGAGTTTTATAATTATAAACATAGGCTTCTCTAATTGTGAATATAAAGTTCAATAATTGTGAATATAAAGTTCAAAAATTATGAACATAAAATTTTATAATTATAAACATAGAGTTCAGTAATTATAAACATAGAACCATATCCACCTTGCAAGGTAAACACAGTTCCACGACATAACGGGCAAATTATTGTATGGACCATGGTCCACACAATGTTATGTGCACCATAACAAAAAGTACATTTTTATTATACTAAATGTACATTATTTTTGTACTGAATGTACATTGTACAATATAATGTACACTCAGAACAAAAATAATGTACATCCCCTGAATACAATGTACATTATTTTTGTATTGAATGTACATTATTGTTGTATTAAATGTACATTATTTTACAATAGACAAAATATGATCTACACAACTTGTGTAGACCATGGTCCACACAATAATGATTGAATTGCAATCCACCTATGTAAGTTAAGATTTGAAAATGAACACTCGTGGGCTGGCCCACGAAATTTTCAACTCAAATACAGAATGGGCTCACAAAATTTTTGACCCATACAAGTTAATATATAAAAGGAAAAATGGTCCAATAAGTTTTCAATCTTTACCTAAAAAGTTAATTAGGTTCTCAAATTTTTTAGAGTTGTAATTAGATACATAAACATGTCAATTTAATTCATCAAGACCCAATCACCTGGCAGTGACCTGTAATACTATTATACCAGGTCACTAAAATTCTAACGATTGTTCGACACAAATTGATGACGGAGACTAAGGCATCGTTGGAGAAGGCGTGGCCATCTCCGGCTGTCGAACTGGTTGCTTTCTCCATCCTTGGGATATCCAGTCGCGAAGATGGCCACTGGCCGGAAAGGGTGACCAAACTGGTCGCCATCTCTCAAAGATGGAGAAGGCGACCAATTTGGTTTCCATTTTTAATCGCCGGGGATAGTTATTGAAAATACTGAAATAGTGACTAGCTTAGTTGCCTTCTTTGTCCCTGGGAGATGGCGGTTAATTTGGTTGTCATCTCCAGTTGATGGAGATGGCGACGAAACTAGTCGCCTTCTCTGTCCCTAAGAGATAGGGACCAGTTTGGTCACCATTTCTAGTCGTCGGAAATGGCGACCATCTCCCAGGGACGGAGATGTCTATGCTTTCTCCAGCGATGCCTTGGTCTATGTTATCCATTTTTATTATCGGACAACTGTCTGAATTTTATGACCTGGTATTACAGGTCACTAACAAGCATTTGGACTCTCATGATCTAAATTGACATGTTTATGTACTTAATTGCAACTTTAAAAGTTTGAGGGGCTAATTGACTTTTCAGATAAAGTTTGATGGTCTATTTGACATTTTTTCCTATTTAAAAATATATACTTGGGTTAATTATTGTATGGACCACAGTCCAAAACGACATTGTTAAATTTTATAAGTTAGAATAATGTATATTATGAGTTAGAATAATGTATTTTATGTGGTAGAATAATGTACACTATATGTTAAAATAATGAAACTTCTGAGTTAAGATAATGTACTTTATGAGTTATAATAATGTATATTATAAGCTACAAAAATGTACGGAGTATATTGCAATGAGTCGCGTGAATTTTTTTTGACAAAACGATATCGTTTTTGGATCGTGGTCCATCATAGTCCGCAATAACTATTGATAAACTTACAAATGGGCTAACGAAAATTTAGATCTAATATAAGACGGGCCCATGATACGATACGGATCGACCAGCACTAACACTAGGTTAAATTTACATATGTAAGAATTTGTAGCACACTACTCTACACTCCATAGGTACACACTAGACACTCTTAAGTTCGATTCCGGTTTGGTACTCCCAGTCCGACGCCCCCGACTCAGCGAATCACCGGTGGCTGCAGCGATCAGACGGCGGAAGCTTTTCTAAAGGATAAAAAGAAAAAGAAACTAATTTTTCACAAGCCCTAGACTCCCAAATCTCCCCAATGAGGTTTAATCTTCTTCTGTGTCTAAAATCTACATATATGCTCTGCATGCATTTGTGTATACCTCTGTAAAATCTGTGTCTCTGCCTCTCTGGTTGCCAACTTGCCATTCTTCGTCTTGGTAGTCTTTTAAAAAAACTGAAAAGGGTTCTGTTTATTTTCCTTTCTGGTTGAATTTGTTTAACTTTTTTTTTCCCGTTATTAGATAAAAAAAAAAAATTGTTTTGATTTGTCGGTGAGATGGGACTTGGATGATCGTGGTGATGTAATGATGACAGTCAATGATTTCAACTCAGGAGTGTGCTCGGACGGGTTTTTGTTTGCTTTGTATATATGATTATGCTTGTGCAATGGCTAGGGGGAGAATGGACCTGAAGTCTTGAATTTTGTCTATATATTTCTTCCTCAATTTGATCAACATACCAATAGCAAGAGACTTATATAAGTTATATTATTATATGCTGAGTATTTAACATTATTTTAAATTGAGCAGCATAACTAACACTTGAAAGGTTAATAAAAAAATAAAGCCTTTGTTGGCATCAAATGTACAAACAGATGAAAAAGGTAGTTCTCTCTCACCCTTGCTAAGGAAGTTTAAGCTGGATATGCAAAAGTGAAGGCTTTAGAACCATCCTCTTGTATATTTATTATTCTTTGCTTAGAGGGGGGGTTGCAAGTATGAGAACTTTCTAGAGAACTGCAAAGCTGACTGGTCTCTCTTCCTTTCTCAATCCCACAAGAGGCCCATATCTGAGGAATTGTGTGCACTTATTTTCTTTCAGAAAACCATTTTGAGAAGAAAATATTTTTATTTAGTTAGCTCTGGTTAATAATATCATGCTAAGATTGTTTTGATCCTTCTCTCTTTGCTTACAGATCTTGCGAGTTGCGCCTCTTAGTAATGAAGACCAGCACTGCCTGAGGTTTCATTTTCAAGAAATTGTGTAAAAGACAGTTTTTGTGAACTTACCAAACTCAAAAGGGCCTCAGAATAACGTAAGGGAGTTTATATGGAAAAAAATACAGTCTCTCCTTCAGGAAGTGATACGAGTGTTGCTTCTGGAACAATATTGGGTAAAAGGAAATTGACAACAACTGATCTACCAGAATATTCATGGCCTAAGGAGTCACTCCTGAAAAACATAAGAAGAAATACTCGTGAATTTACTTCAATTCAAAGAAAGCGTGATGCATGTGCTATGCGACATCAATTTCTAGCTGATAAGTTTCATCATAATGATACTACAGAAACTGGATTGACTGGTAATTCTGATTCCCAAATATATGAAATTGAATATTCAAAGGACATGCCTCTAAGTAATGAGCTGCAGCTTTTAAAACATGAAGAACAGTTCCAAAAGTTGGAAGTGCATACTGGGGAGACACCTAAATTACCAAGTTGGATACTTGAGAAGGGAAATATATGCGCACAATCTGAATCTAAGGGATCATTGTCAATTCCATCCTATACTTCCTATATAGAAAAGTCTCAGAGCGAACCTGTAGTACAAAATACTGCCCTAAAAAAGACATTGTTGGCTACATTTTGTAATGATGATTTGTCTGTAACTCAGAGAGCGATGGGAACATTTCAGCAGAGTTCTTCTCAGCCTGACCGCTCCGATAATCTCTCTGATAGAAGAGCAAGCATGGATGAAGTCAACGAGTTTGATACTTCTTGTTCTTTTGGACAAAGAGGGCAAGTTTTTCAGAAGATTAAGAGCAATAATGCTCCTAAATCCTGTGCTGAGCAAAATGACATCCGGACCGAAGGGCAGTCCAATGTGGGGGATTCAGAAGGGTTCAATAAGGAGAACAAAAAAAGTTCCTTGGTCGAGGAATTTGCTTCAAAATATGACCAAAATCCTGATAAAAGTTTCAAACTTGAAAAGCAGAAGTTGAATCATGGTTCCCATAGATTTGAAGAAAAGAGTAGGCCAAAATTACATAAATCATCTCTGGCTGCAGGAAAGATATGGGTTGGATCTCTTCAGCTAAATCCTTCCATTGCTGTGCCTGCAGTTGCCTTCTTTAAAAGGTTTATTTTTCACTTACTTCTTTTCTCTTGATATATGCATGCATTGCCCTTGTTTCTTTTCATATTTATAATTCTAGGCAGTCTGCATGCAACCTGCAAATTAATAATGTGTTTGCCAATCATATTGTTATGTCTGTAAAATTTGATATGCTGATGCAGTTAAGATTTTGTCAAATGTTAAGAGTCTGATGAAGCAAGCTTTGTGGAAAATTCATGATTTCAATTGTCTTTAGTTAGTTTTATGTTGTCTGTCTGGATTGTGATCTCGATTGAAGCAGACTTCTATAAACAATTTTCTGCAGCTGTATTGGATCATTTTTATTTGTGGCATATTAGCTCTAAAAGTTTATAAATTCTGACCTTATTTTTACTTACCTTTCAAGATTTTATTCATTGCACCTAAAAGGAATTCACTTTAGCCTTAATACCAACCATCAGGAAAGCTGAAATGGATCCTTGTCATTTATGCTAACAAAATGGAAAAATTATATTGCTTCCTTAGTTTGCATGTTATGCAGTAACACATTCTGCCACAAGGCAATTGAAATCTCGTTCAGAAAAAAATCGTCAAGAGAACTAATAAATAAATAAATAAAATAAAATAAAAACAATTTGGTCTTCCAAAAGAAGAGATAGATTTTAGCATCTTGCTGAACCTGAACATAATCAAAGGGATCCAATGAAGATTAGGTAGTGTGATCCATAGCAGGGCAGCAATGAAATCAATAGATTCACGTGTTGTTGTTGTTGTTATTATTATTATTATTAAAATTATTATTATTATTTTGCTTTATTGGATCATGAATGCTCTATTAATTTGTTGATTTTCTCTGGGGTTATTTTTCTCTGTGACATTTTCATACCTCCAAAACAAAGAGATCAAAGTTTTTTGTTCTGCCAATAATACAATTATAATGAAGTTTGGATGATGAGTTGTTTTGACATGTTAATCAACCTTTTTTAGTTATCCTTTTCCCCTAGTGGTCACCATATGAACATACATAGCATATGCTACCCTCTCCTACCTTTTGATTCAAGCTATATTTATCCTGTTCTTTGTGGTTACTTTAAGTCTTTAACTGATAATGGAGAAGTTTAATTCTTACAAAATAGACCCCCAAAGTATGATTTATTCAAGATGTCACTAATCAAAGCTACTATGTTAATAGAAACCAGAAGTAATGAACTAATGATACTAGTAGATAGATAATTGATTACACATGTAGGAGTTATCATATTTCATAAGTTTCTTTCATTCTTCATAGCTTTCTATTAGTATAATGACTATAATCTCCTTTTACAAAAGCAATTAATGAACATTTGCCACAATCAATTAGCAAAAGAAGTCTACTCTAAAATTCATTCCTGAAGTATCCACACTTCATATATTGAAAATCTAGTCTTTGAACCACAAAGTAGAAAGCACACATCTTATGCTGGTTGACCTTGTTGAAATTGAGGGATTGAAGGAGTAGTGGGGGGCAAATAGTCACCAGCCGCTAGTGAGGCACACACTAAATATGAAAAATAAATAAAGAAGATAAATAATGATCATATTAATAATATTGTAATTTATGGGTGATGCATACATTCAAACGTAGGACTACATGTAGGGCTAAACCATAGGGTTTCTATATTTCAAGTTGCCCCTAAAACTAGACACACACAAGTTCTAAGCTTGCATAGTTCACAAAATTATAGCCGAAAAACAATAATCCCCCTTGCTAGAAACTTAGGAAGCTAAACTTATTAAATGTGGCGAGAGGATGACTATGCTAGATGTGAATAACCTTGGAAAACATGACATTGTGCGTGATCCATGGGATTGAAGATGAAAGTACCAAGGCAAAGAGCCAATCATGAGTGGTTTCAAAGCATAGCAATGCACTCTAGGACACAGTGTCAAAAAGAAAGGTTTTCCTTCATCCCAAGCGGCAAAGGGATTCGTTTCAGCCATAACAATGAACAAAATAATGTTGAACACTAGAAAGCTTGTTGATGGCAGTACATGACTTTAGAGGCGGTGACCAAACTTCATAGTTGGACTGTTGGAGGGAGAGGATGATGTGGTTTGTGTAGCCCAATTTGGCTAACATTCTTTTATTGGTGCATTAGATTTCTCTTAATCCAAATTTGGAGCTTTTTGAACGAGTTTTGCAGCTTTTGAATCCCAAGAAGTTATTTTAATTTTTCATCAATCATTTTTTATTTTTTTTGGGCTAATCGTGCTAGTTTTTAAGGTCCTATTAGTATTACATAGGGAGACTTTGCAATCCATCGTGGCTCAATTTTTCTTAGTTTAGAAGACTTAGTACCTTTTTTTTGAACTTATTTCTTGTTTAGTTTTAATTAGTTTTATTCGTAGTTAGGGTTTTACAAGAGTCTAGAAAAATCATAGAGATTAATACTTTTCTTGTATTCTCATTTATTAAACAATCAATAATGAAGTTAAATTGAATAACATAAGACTATGTCTTACCTGGTGTGTATATTTGGCTTCTCAAAAAGTGTGATACAAACTCATATTCTCGTTTGAAGGCTATACTATTTAGGGCAAGATTTGCATTGAACTTGAGATACAAACTCATATTCTCGTTTGAAAGCTATACTATTTAGGGCAAGATTTGCATTGGACTTGGGAATCCAATGGATACTTAGTCTTCAACAGACCAAATGGATTGGTAGAGTCACCTAAACTCTATATGTTTTGAGATAACAATTTATCTCTTAACTTTGCAAGTCTAGGTGTCTTTCTTACATATATGTACTAACATGACCCTTCTTGCAACTAGGCAAGACAACCACGTGTATCAGTGTATTTTGGAAAGACAATTACTCTTGTGAATTTAAGAGATAAAATAGTTACCTCAAAACCTATAGAGCTTGGGTGGTCTCTACCAATTCATTGGTTTGTTAAAGACTAGCTATCCTTAGTCTAGCATAGTAGCATGAACCTTCCCTTGGATAGTATATCTTTCAAATTAGAACAAGACTTTGAATGACCTTTGTTAGAGGAATATGGTGTTAGTTGAGAGGATCTCTCTTAGCCTTAGTTTAGGTGTTTGAAATCTATGGCTAGGATTAGCTCTTGTCTTGTATAAATAGCTCTACACTTCCTTGTACATCTACACAACATATAGAAATATATAAGTTCTCTGTAGATGTACAAGGAAGTGTATAGCTATTTATACAAGACAAGAGCTAATCCTAGCCATAGATTTCAAACACATAAACTAAGGCTAAGAGAGATCCTCTCAACTAACACCCTATTCCTCTAACAACCTTCAAAGCCAAATGCACACCCATGTGTAAGGATCAAAGTAACTTCAACCCTGAATGTCTAATAAATTTTAAGGTTTCTCTAGTAAATTCTAACTAAGAATAAAAGTAAACAAGAAATAACCCCTACAAAGGTACTAATCTCATCACTATGGTTCGAGGTCAAGAAAAGGCCTTAAAAACTGATACATAATGGGTTGGATAACCTCCCTTTGTAATACCCAAAAACATATAGGGCCTAAAAAATTAGCCCAAAATTACTAAACTAATGTTGAACAATTAAAATAACTCCTTGGGCTTAAAAAAGAAGCAAAGCTCATTCCAAAATTGGGTTTTAAAAAAAATGTTAGCCAAATTAGGCTAACCTAGATCACATAAGAGAAATCCAATGGCCAATAATGAGGTGGTTAGACCATTGAAAAGAATTAGCCAAAAACCCGACTAAGAGGACACAAGCGGCAAGACTTTTTGAGGTTAGGTTGTGATGAGGTTTCTTGTGTGGCAGTAGTGTTGACTTTCTCAAGCAACCACCCAAAAGGTCAAAACAAGGGTAGACACTTGCAAATTATTTGCAACAAGGTTTCTACCAAAAAATTGTGAGAAAGATTAAGATTTAGGGCTCTGATACTATATTGAAATTGAAGGGTTAAAGGTTTGGCAATGACAATTTTAATTAATCCTTGATTTCTTTGTTTCTCTCAATAATAAACACCATCAACATGTTCTTGGGAGAGAATATTTGGCCATATAATTCCCTAAACCTAGGGCTACACCCTAGGGTTTCTATATTCCAACAGACTTTGCATGAAGTTTTTCTATTATTAAACTCAAAACAGTGATCTATAAATCTATTTAGACTTTCTTCTTTCCAATCTGGAATTCTTTGCTCCATCTTTCTCTCTCTCCTCTTGTGTGGATACCAAAATATGATAATTTTTTTTTTTTCATCTGTATTATGTAAATAAACAGTCAGACAACCTATCAGACCTTTTCAATTTCACCATTTTGACTGTGTTTAGCACTTAAACCTGATCTTGCATATTTATACTTATAGATGATGTTGGTGAAGTGCATTGGTTTTCCACAGTGCCATCATTGCATTAACTAACCATCATTGCAATCTTTCTTGTAACATTTTTCTGATAATAATATATGGCCTAGGTTAGGATATTCTTTTCTTTATGAATTTTCTTGACCTTATGAATGATGCATTTTCTGTAGTGGTGAGAAGTTGCTTGATGTCAACTGGTATGAACTTGTAGACGTTAAAGGGAAAGTAAGATTAGAAGCCTTTGAAAAATATATCCAGGAACTTTCTCGCTCGCGCAATCGGGGATTAATGGTAAGACCAAATCTTCCTTTGTCCACTATTTCAAATCAAATATTTAATTTTTAATAAATAAACATGACAAATCACTTCGTTAGTAGTTTCATAAATGTCCATACACAGGCAAAACGAATAATTCATGGGTTAGTTTTTTAGATTGTTTTGCCAAGTATTTAGCATTGCCTTTTCTTTTACATTTTTCTCTAATGACCTTATCTAGGAAAATATAGTTGAACAGTGTTTTACAAAGTTCTGTTTTTGTAGTATATATTCTCTTTCAGTTTCTAATTTGTAGGAGTTTTCAATGAGGCCTGAATATGGTAGTATCTAATTTAACTTGTTCAGGGAGCTGTTGGTTTGGGCCTTCTGGCTTGTGATGTTCAATATATAATCATTAAGAAAAAAAAAAAAAAGATCTTGAGAGCATTTATAAAATCAAACATTCAAACAAGAAGAGAAAAAGAGATGATTTGCTATAAGGATAGTAAAGAATTAATGCTATGATTGGATAAGAGATATCTCTGGACATTAGCTTTTAAGAATATAAAACCAGATCAGAATATTGGATCACCTTTGTAAAATTTCCAAAATAATCCTTTTTGTTTCCTTTATCTAATACATGCTAGTTTTGTTCACATCATACAAGTTCTCCAAATTATTTCAATAATATTTCCTGTTGAAGTGATGAAAAAAAAAAACGTTTCTGTTATAGGACACACAGAATTAACATAATTAGAATGCTATTAGATGCGAGAAGTAAGCTGTGGTTTTTTTTTCTATAAACATTAAAATCCCGAGTGGTTTAGAAAATATAGTGTTTGCATCTCAAAGTACATTTTGCTTCTTACTTTATTTATGAACCTGTATAAATCTTTTTGGCAGATTAAATTTTTAATCATATAAATGACTAAAGCAAATGTTTCTTTTTAATTGACATGAACAAATGCTAAATAGACAGCACTAGTAGTTCTGCTTGAAAAGTGATCTTGTTAAACTTCAGTGCACATTTTAGTGAGGAACATTTCTAAGCTTATCTTAAATGCTCTGAATTAATTAAGCTTAGCTGCATTATTATTCTTGAAAATTAGAATTTTTACTTTTCCTAGTTGAACCTAAGCTGCTTGGTGGTTTTTGCTACAATTTGAGTTAGATTCTGTTGATTTTTTGTTAGCTTGTTTTAAGTTTCTTCTGTACTTTGGTGTTGAGGGAAAGTTTGGTTGGATTTGGATTTGAGGGGAGAGCTAAAATCTAAAGATTTAAGAACAATCAATTCTGTAAACGGAGCATAGCACACTTTTAGTCCCTCAATTATGTCTTAATAGTTAGCCTCTAATTGTTTGATGTGCACATATTTAAGAACAATCAATTCTGTAAACGGACCAAATGTGTACATATCAAACAACTAGCAGCTAAAATAGCTATTATGTTATTACAGTGGGACTAAAAATGCTATTCTCCCTTTTATAAATTTAAATCCTCCATTTACGTGTTAAGAAGTTTTTAAATGAATGACTATAAAATCCATGCTTTATACTTTATAATAATTAGATTGCGACTATCAAATCATAATAAATAATAGTAATTGGATATCAAACCAAAATTATTGATGCTGTGGAAACACTTACTATTAGATCAACTAAAGACTGAAAAAAAAAAATGTTTGTGGCAATGTGATAACTTTTCCAGCTTTCGTTTGGCTAAGAATGCTTTTATACCTCCAAGTGAGGAAGCAGAAAGTTGGAATGGAAATATTATGTTCACCACAAACTAATCAAAGCATGCCCTTCTTGCGGGCAGGAAGAGATAAAAGGCATAACCAAATTAAGGAATTAGAAATTAAGAACAGAGTACTAAAGAGTAACTGAAACAAATCCATTTTATAGGTATATTATTTGTCAATATCTAATGAGAAAGCAGTAACAGATAACGGCCATGTGTAAACTATGACTATAAAATTACTTATCAGAATGATGGTACCGTGGATAAAAATTTGCAGTTGGCATTTTAATTGAAAATTTCAACTTCATCACCAGTTTTCTCAAGTTATCTATATAAAAATCCTCCAGTCTGTCGTGGATAATGAAAAGTTAAGCCTCTGCTCTCTGACAACTTAAAAATTTAGGCATGATGGAGCATCTAATTCAATATGGTACCTTGGCAGAAAGAAATTCTTGAGCAGTCGTGCTTGAATTCTGTCTTAATATTAAATGTGTTTTTGGTCTATCTAAAACAATATGGTCCCGATTGCAACCAATTATGTTTGTTTCTTCTGAAAATGATGAACAGGTTGCAAGAAAATAAAATACGTGCCTTGGCTGAACTAAGCATCCAATAAATGAATGTCATATATTACATAACACAACAATCTTACATTGATCCATTCAATTATCAGACTGAATCTAATTAATATGAAATCACTTAATCACATACTAGTATTAATTTCTTCCAAAGCTCCAGGAAAGTTTGTAATGGCCAATAATTCATCTGACACTATTGTGAACTTTAAAGATCTGCAATGCCACATGTGAAGGTTCACAAACAGTGTATGGAGGCAGCTCTTTTGATTAAAGAAAGTAATTTAGCCTTAAAAACCTGGAAACAGCAGGATTTTAATTTCATGATGTTCAGAAATAGAATATTTGAGTCCAACAATGTTACACTTAATCAGAATTAATTTTTGCTAATAAGAAAGGGACAGCATGCCTAATAATTCTTAACCAATTAACAGTTCTTATCCAAATATATATACAATTAACCATAGCTTTGTTATCTTGCGAAATAGACATAAGTCACATAACACCTCTCTCCATATTCCTTCCATCTGCTGCTTTATATGAGAAAAAAAAAATCTCTCCAGAAACTACACTGTTTCACCAACTGTAAGTAACATAAATTAGCAGCAAATGCTGAACAGTTAGGTAAACTATTTCGTGTTCCTGAGCAGAGTGAACTCCACCTATGACCTAACTTCCAGATCTGAAATCCTGAAATACCATGGGGTTATTCTGGTGGTTATAAGTTGTTTTTTTTTTTTTTTTTTTTTTTTTTTTTTTTTTTTTTTTTTTTGCCTTGACGAGTGACATGCTTGCAGATAGTCTATTTGTGTATAAGAATCAACTGTATGATGTTAGCAATTACTTGAGAGCATATGGGGATGCAAGAAGTTTTCAACTCAGACTTCTTCCTCCCCCATTGTCTTTTTAATCTGGATTTTGGAATGTTAAGAATCCAGTTTTATTTCAATAAGGTAATTTTGAGGATACAATAAAACCTAGGATTGAATCTAATTTAAAAACTTCCATTATCACTATGTTGTGTTAGCTTTAAGGGCATAGGTTCATCGATAATAATTTTATATGCTTATTTAAAAACTTCCGTTATCACTATGCTGTGTTAGCTTTAAGGGCCTAGGTTCATCGATAATAATTTTATATGCTTTGAAGAAGGGTTCAAATTTTGTATGACATTTTACACAATTAGAGTGCCTTGAAGTAATGGTTGAGTTGAAATGACACATTGAGTTATTAAGAGGTGCTCCACAGTAAATTCTTTTTTCTGTCTCCTCACTTGGCACATTCTTCTTCATCATAGTCTACTGGTCGGGCAAAATAGCTGTTAAAAGAAACTAATTAATTCTTGCTATATAGTGAAAAAGGACTGTTTTCTTAGCTTTCAATAATGATGTGAGTATTAGTCGCATTTTTGTTAATCTATCAAAAGTTCTTTCGGGTTTTTTATTGTATGACCAGGCGTTGATAAACATTTTTCAGAAGGCTTTAATTTTGAGAACTGCATGTTTTGAATCACTGGTATTACTAAATATGTGAAATTTCTTGATTCATTTCACCTTCATTTATTGAATTTATTTTAGTTGAAGTTTCCTGATATGGTTTAATTCTATGTTTCGGAACTGTATTTTTTGTGACTGTTAAAATTAGCAGGAATGTCATCTGAACATTTCTATGCTCTGAAAAATATATTGCTTCGTATATATTGAGTTCCGAAAATTTCTTTACATTATAGAATAAAGTTACTGATACTTTTCATTAACATTCAGGTAATTTCTGTGTGTTGCAACGAGGGGTCTGAGACTGACATCAAGCATATGAAAGAGGTAATTTCGAAATAATAAAACCGGATAACTCTTTTTGAAGGAAAAACCGGATAACTCTTAATCACTGATATTTAATATTCTATCAAGCAGTTATACTCATTAGTCCCTGTTCCATGTCAGGTTGCAAAGGGGTATGTAAAAGGCGAAAGAGTTGGGCTTGCACGCCTCTCGCAAGGCGTTGATCTTTACCTCTGTCCTCGGACCGATACAATTATCACAATCCTTGCGAAACATGGTTTCTTTAAGGGGTTGGCAGCAGCGACTGAAAGCAAGTGCGAGCTATTTATTGGTTGTGTAGTGTGGCGAAAAAATCATTCGGTTGCTAAGAAGTCTGAGAGCAATTCCCATTCCGAGCAGTTACAGAAATCGCTGCCTGATTCTATTGATGTGGAAGCTGTGGGCAAAAGTTCTGTATCATCGGTTGGCGATGCACAAGCACTGGCCTCGGCTAAATCTTCTTTGGTTGCTGAAAGTAATGACATCAAGGATAATCAAAATACGGGTGGTGTTGACAATTCGTCTTCTAACGCCATTTCCCTGCCAACGCTCTCGCTAGCGGAGCAACGAGGACCTGTTCCTTCCAAGTCGGAGTCACAGGTAACCCCGGGGGGAGTTTGTTGCATTGAACCAGCTAGGGGAAATGTGGAACTTCCAAAATACAGTCTTGCTTTACCATCCAACACATCAAGCCAGAAGGCCCAGAAGAAGCCATTTAATGATGATGATCTTCCTGAGTTTCACTTTGGGGTTTCTAAAAGTTGTGATGGGAAATCCTCAGATGCACATTTGCTCAACAGAACTAGAACTGAAGATGGGTCTGGGAACTTAACCCGATATTTGGCACATTCTGGTCCGGTCTCCAAGCCAACAGCTTCGAATTCGACCCCCGTTATAGACACGCCTCCAAATAGGGAAGCCAGTGTCCATGGCACGCCACTCCCTCTTCCCCGACGAATGGAAGGAAGACATGCCCACCAGAGCCACAGCATTCCACCACCTACAATTGCCATCCCTAAGATTCCCTTTACTGATTTAGGGAAGAAAATTTTCTTTGATGATGATGACATGCCCGAATGGCTTCCACCAGATCTAAAGAAGCAATCATTTGCCAAACAAAGCAATATTACAACAACAAACCCGGGTTTCAAGAATTTGCCTTTCCACCACCATCCTCCAAGGCCATTTCCACCACCACCAAATCCTCCAGTGCCCTCTGCCGCCACGTCCACCTTTCAATTCGAATGTGCCTCCACCGGTGCCCTCTCGTGATGGTCAGAGTTATATGACGGGATTTACCTTCAACCCTGTTCTACGACCACCCTCCCGTGATGGTCAGAGTTATATGACGGGATTTACCTTCAACCCTGTTCTACAACCACCCTCCGGTCCCCTGGCAGTAAAGAGCCCTCTCCAGCCTGCAGGTGGAGTTTGGAGGCCATAATACAGAAACTATACATCAAATAGGAAGGAAAATCAGGAAATGGTTTGAACCTGTAGATACCCATAGGAGAAAGTTAAATATAGGTCTCAAGCGTAAAAGAGTGTTTGAATTTTAACTGGCTATGGTTTTAGTTTAAAACTAGTTGAGTTTAGACAGTCCTCAAACCATAAGATTGATATACTTATCGCAAAAAGATGTTGCAAATTTTCTTCTTTCTTATACCTAACTTACCCAACTTTGCCCGACTGATTCTAAGCCCAGAGACATTGGTCCTAGTCCTAGAGTCCCAATAAAAGTAAATTGTGAGTCCCACGCAATCAATAAAAGTAAAGCATGAGTCGCGCAATCAGTTTATTGGTCAAATTTTAGTCACCTTTTTCTTTTCCATGATACTATCGTTCTGATAAGTACTTTTATGCCAAAGCAGCTGACCCTTTAATCGTAACATCAAGTCAAGCGAGAAATTATTACTCTACTCCAAACTTTTCTTTCTTGCATCAATTACTAGAATTAAGCTACTAATATACTAAAATAATTTTTTTTTGAAAGCCAAATAATCCGGATTGTATTAAATCATCGAAGAATCCAAAAATGGAGGAGGAACATCCCTCCCTATCGACGGTGCATAACTCGCACTTACATCTTCAGCCAATGCATGAGCAGCCCGAATGGCTTCTCTGCTAATAAAATTAACTTCACAATTCGAGATAGAACTAATAATCTGGCAACAAGAATTTAAAACTAAACCAACATACGAACAAAACAAGTGTGCCTTAACAAGACTAGAGCAGAAGACCGAGCTAGAAAACTCTTGTTGGCTGTCCACGCAACCCATTGGAGCTGGAAGTTGCGCCACAACACCGTTGGACATGGCAGAAAACCCTCCCAAAACTGCATGATTTTTAGCCTTCCATATTTTATGTAAAACACCACATATTTGCTCTTTTGTTCCACCCGTAACGGCTGCTGTGTTGTCCATCCAATCTGCCGCCCATTGCATGAAATCACCACCATCAAAATGAGGAATGGGTTAGTGAGAAGCATCCAAACACGTCTAGCATATGAACAAGTGCATAGAATGTGCATGATGTCTTCTGTTTTAAGCCCACAAGATGGGCATAAATATGAGATCTCTACCCTTCTCCTAATTAAGTTTTTTGCCGTGGAAAGAATGGAGGAGAGGGCTTCCATATGTTATTCCATAAAGGTCTAGGCGGTATGGTTTAATGAGTAAGGACCGTTAGGCGGTATGGTTTAATGAGTAAGGACCGTGATTTTCTAAATATCCTCAGAGCTAGGATCAATAAGATCAACTACTAAAATAATATATATTTATTAACACTCAAACAAATGAGTATCTAAAGCCTAAAATGCAGCACTAAGATTCCTTATTTTTCTTCTTTCTTTACTTTGGATTTTGAGAAGGCATTTACATAAATGAGGAATAGTAAAAAATGATGAAAATCAAAGGAAGAGAGAAAAATACTTCTAGAGAGAAAAATACTACTGCAACTATATGGTGAGAAGGGATTTTAAGGAGTCGCCATTGTGTCTGAATCAACATCATCAACGGTAAGCCATTCACAAGATCCCTCACTATCTGAACCTTCCTCGACGACAGAAGTTGAAAGGCTCGATCTACTCCAAGCTTTCGGCTTTCTACCTACATGAACCCATTCACCTGAGGAAATCCATTCATGTGATTCACCGGAGGAAAGAGCTTTCTTGCCGCTAGATCTTGTGATTCTATCTGGTAAATCATTATCATTGTCATCCTCCTCCACATCGCTAAACGAAACAGCATCCTCATTTTTGATGAGTTTGGATTTCTCGGCATTTGAAACCTCTATTTCTACAGCTTTTGGAGTAGTTGTCTTCCGCAACGGATTATTGTTCCCTTGCAAACTACCATGATCCTTGACGTTAGTATCGGAGTGTTTTGAAGCTTTTCCCCGTGCGTTCTTATTTTGCAATTGTTGCATAAGCGTATCCTTCACTTCGACGATCTGCAGCAAAGTAAACTCCCCTAAATAAAATGACCAACATTGCAAACAAAACCCAACAGACAACAATTATAATTTCCCTTGGAATTTAAGTAACAATCACGGAAAACGGAAATAAAATAGAGATACTATAGACAATAGCCAAAGAGAAGCAGCTCTATCAGCCTATAATAATAGGCCGGAATCAGCTAACCATCACTGTCGTGGGAATTATAGTTAAAATTGTTTGCATCAGAGCATTATAGAGAAGTCCAACTACAAAAATGCCATCGCCTGCTTTTATCATAACATCTTTTATCATAACATTAAGTAGGCAAAGAAAACATAAACTCATGTGATTGTTTGAAATTTCAGCCATAAACACGTAATCTCATTCCTTTGCTTGAGCTTTCACAAATGGATTTTATTTCTTAAAAATGTTCATATTATCAAATATGACTTGCTTAACTGCAAGAAAAAACTTGAAAATATTCCCCACTCTTCCACCCTTGCATTTAAGATTCCAAGGAGTTGCGCGCAAAAGAAACAATTGTTTCACATGAAAGGGATAAAGACTTGCCTTGGGAGTCAATAGGAGCTCCAAATCATTCTCATCCAACCTAGGAAGCAATAAGATAAAATAGATCATCCAAAACTTATTATTTGGTAAATGGCCAGAAACCTTTTGCCTTAAGGATCCAAGATCGGGCACCAATTGCTCAATGTTCTCCACATGCTGTCTTTGATTGGCAGACATTTCAAAGTCTGCAAGTATTAGCAATGGGTGCATACGAAATTAAACATCAAAGTTCAAGATGAGCACAATTTATTTAGTTGCCGAAAAATAACTTTTATAAGTTTTACATGACATATACTAACAGTAAATACAGAAATTAGAAAATTAAGTATACTAATTGTTGTTCTGCCTTTTCTTTTGGGCATATAGGAGGAAAATGCAAATATGCATGACCAAAAGGAATAACCAAAAGGAATAATCATAGACAACGACTTTGTAATCTAGTGATCACATATTTAATCAACATTCCCCCAGATTTCCAAAACAAAAACGAAAGAATAATCCAGATTGTTTGGCTATGCATAAAAGCATTAATTAATGGTGCAAAGCAAATCATGTAAAGGGCATAAAAGTGCTTAAAACAGAATCTCCAGGACAACATTTGGAGCAAAAATTATCAATCTCATGGAATATGGATGCCCAACTACTCTGTTCATGCTCCCAAATGCTCTGTCAGGCCGGGATGTGGGCTCTTGGGGTTGGGGATTCAACCTTTAGGGGAGGAAGAACCCCATATTTTTTATTATACCTATTTATTACTCACTAATCAGAAAATGAAAAAGGAATTCTTTTGTTTCATTAACAAAGTAATGCCTACTTTTTAATAGATGCAGTAGCATTAATGAATGATATGCAAGACCACATAAGAACACAAATTGGTCTACGATAATTACTAATCCGTAATTTAATAAATGCTAAACACATACATTATAAGACAGTGAAAGATCACTAATCTCAAATTCATGCACAACCAAAAACTCATTCTAGCTCATTATCTATAATCACAAGAAATATACACATATAATGAATGCACGAAAAGGCGGATTCCTATACATATTTTCAGTAATTATATATAAGAAAATAAAAGCAAGAATTTTACCAAAAATGAACTCACCATTTGGTAAATTGATTGGAAAATCAGTCCAAAGCTGAGGCCTTTCACAAAGAGTATTCACATAGTCCACAACTTCCTCCGTAATTCCTACCATCTCCTCCTCCTCTACCGCATCATCCTCTTTTGGCTTAAAAAATCGGGAGGACAACAGTGAAAGGCTGGACTTGAACCTGTCTCCAATCTCAGCTAAATCCTGCTTCATTCCGGCAATCGCCCTTGAGCTGACCTCCACCGTGCCGCCGGCGCCGCCGTCATCGATGGCGGCCGCGGCGGAAGGAGAGTCAGTCGGCGGTGGAGCAAGGAAGGCTGCCACAGAGCGGAAGAGGGTGGAGATGGTGTGATCAGGGGCGATTAAAGAATTCTGATCATCATCATTGTCTTCAGAATTGAAAGGGTTTGGAAGAAACAACCAAGATGACATTCTTAATTTTTCTTGGTTTTTTTTTCCTGAATTTTATATACGCAGTATATATATATATATATATATATATATATATTTAGCGCCTTATAATGCAGTGCTGAGATTTTGAAGATAGAGAAGAGAATGTGTAAGGAAGATAGAGACTAGAGAGAGTCCTTTTGGAGCAGAACAACTGAACAAGAAGTGGACTAATACTTTAACTTCAACCCTGTTTTGTTTTTTTTGTTTTGTTTTTTTTTTTTTTTATCCTCAAATTACTTTAAATATAAAAAGACCCAAACACATTATTTATAATTTTATATAATAGGGAAAAAAAGGGTCAAATACGCACACGAACTTTAGTTTAAAAGTCAATTAGACCCCTAAACTTTTTAAAGGTGCAATTACACCCATCAACAATTCATTTAGGTTCAATGAAGTCCAAAAACAAGTTAATGACCTGCTATCACAGGTCATTAGAGTTCAGGCCACCTTCCGGCAAAAAAAAAAAAGAGTGACCGGCGACCAACGCACGCCGGCGGTCACTTTTTTGCCGGAGCCGGTCACTTTTTTTTTTTTTTTTTTTTTTTTGTCAAAAATTTCGTCGGAAGATGGCTTAAACCCTAACGACCTGTGATAACAGGTCATTAACTTGTTTTTGGGCTTCACTGCACCTAAATGAATTGTTGATGAGTTAATTGCACCTTTAAAAAATTTAGGGGTCTAATTGACTTTTAAGTTAAAGTTCGAGAGCCTATTTGACCATTTTTCCTATATAATAAAACAATTTTTTTTAAAGAACATTCTTATTAGTTATTTTTTAAATATTCTTATTTGTTAATAACATTATTTATGTGTCCAATTTTATTAGTTTATAAAAAATAAATTTTATTTTATATAATTAATATCAAATTTATACAATAAATGAGCAAAAAAAAAAAAAAAACCATAAAAGTTATATTTTTGATTAATTATAAAAATATAATAATCTCAAATGAGATTTAGAATATTAGTAGCATTAGACCATAGGCTTAAATTGATATTATAGTTATATTAGAATGCTTTGAGGTTTTTGGTCACTTTTATCTAATTTATTTCTTAAATGCAATTTTTGGCTAATTAATGGCTAATGAGAAAGATGACTGTTATGTTCAGATCCATTCTTGGTAGTTCTTAAATTATGAATTTAGTCTCTCTAGTTTGACTATTTTATTGACAATATTAGAAATAACAAGGTTTTTTTATTTTTTAATTCCAAATTTGAATTATATTGTTTGATTGGTAAGATTTTGCGCTTCATTATATTCATTATAGTATTTTATATTTTTGTGGTTTAATGTTTATTAAATTAGTGAGTTGAAGTAATTTGAATGCATACTTATTACTCATTCTTGTAAATCATTTTTATAGAATTTTTTGTTTATTTAGATACAATTTGAAAGTTTTCTTGTGAATTACCGTATTTTTTTTTTTATTTACATCATTCACTCATATATACACATATCTATAGTCTTCCCTAATAAGTGAATGACTAGGATTTGATCCATACAATGTAAAAGATTTAATTTTGTACAATATTTTAAGAATACTTATAATAGTCTAAAATAATTTACCTCAATAAAATCCTTATAAAATATTATTCTTTCGATAGGAAATTGAAAAACTTACATTGACAAGTTAGTATTATTTTTCTAAGGCCATCTCCAACCCATTTTACACTAAAACACCAAAATTTCTACGAAATGTCACATCAAAAAGAATATTTTTGACATATTTTTATACTAAATTTTATTCATCTACAATCCATTTTACATCAAAAGACCAAATTTCTACACCAAATGTTATTCTACATTAAAATAATTTGGTTTCTCAACTTCACTATACAAACTTGAACACTTAAATATATCATCTTTAACAACAGATACTAAAAGTGCAATATAATAGACAATTAAGTGACTAAATATGTTGGGAGCAAATTCCCAAGGGACTAAATTGTTTGGGACAAAATTCTAAAAGTGAAATAATTCATAGAGCAAAAGTTACAATAATTATATCGTGAACCGTGGTCCAAAAATGACGTTGTTTCTTTAAGTAAGGAAACGGTTGCCGTTACACCTTAATGGAACTTGTATTTTTAGTGTGTTAATTACAAAATGAAACTACAGTGTATTTAAAATGAAATGTCTCACATATTGTATTTATATTATCAAATGAAACTGTAATTGTGTTGAAATGAAACTGCAGTGTATATATAAAATGAAACTGAATAACAGTTTCACATATTTGAGTGTATATTGTCTAATGAAACTGTAGTTATATCGAAATGATAGTGAAGTTGTGTTGTAATGAAACTATAGTGTAGATATAAAATGAAACTGAATAACATTTTCACATATTTGAGTGTATAATGTCAAATGAAACTATAGTTATATCGAATTGAAATTGTAGTTGTGTTAAAATGAAACTGCAGTATATATAAAATGGAACTGAATATGTTATACAAACAGAGCTACTTTATGCGGAACAGGTGCCGTTTCTTTTCATTAAAACAAACGACACCGTTTTGATTCCTGGACCACAATGCATTATGGACCGTGTAAAATTTGACGCAAAGTTATTTATTGTCTAAATTCTCAATCATTTTGAGCCCAAAGAATCAATGTCCACACCACCAAGTTCCAATAGTTATGCTGTGCAACCGAATGTACCATGCGCATGGTGCATACGATGCAAAACGACGTCGTTTTGACTAAAAACGCGCGTCCCACTTTAAAAAGAAAAAATTCAGGTTCGATTCTCGGCAATAGCATTATTGTGGATATATAGTTATGAATTTCTGGATATATAGTTATAAATTTGTGGATATATAGTTATGAATTTATGGATATTTAGTTCATTCATTGTGGATATTTAGTTCATTCATTGTAGATATTTACTTCATTCATTCACTGTGGATATATAGTTATGAATTTATGGATATATAGTTATGAATTTTTGGATATATAGTTATGAATTTATAGATATTTAGTTCATTCATTGTGAATATTTAGTTCAATCATTGTGGATATGTAATTCATTCATTGTGGATATTTAGTTCATTCATTGTGGATTTTTACTTCATTCATTCATTCATTGTGGATTTTTACTTCATTCATTCATTCATTGTGGACTTTTACTTCATTCATTCACTGTGGATATATAGTTATGAATTTGTGGATATATAAAAATGTTATTGTCGGGAATCGAACCTGATTTCTTCTTTAAGTGGGGCGCGCATTTTTTTAACCAAAACAACGTCATTTTGCAACCGTATGCACCTTGCAAGGTGCATTCGGTTGCACAGCATAATTTGCGACCAAGTTCAATTATAACCATCTCACATAGTAATTGATGCTATTTTCCCAAGGAGAGGTAAATTGGGCCCGTAACTTTTTGATAAAAAATTATTTTGCACCTACTCTACCAGGGACGTTATGCCATGGAACCGTGTTCACTATTCATGGTGAACACGGTTTCAACGGTGTTAGTACACCGTTATCTTCTTCTTCTTCTTTTTTTTTTTTTTTTTTTTTTAATTAATTGCGTGACTTTTCTTCTTTATTTTCACATTTTGCGGTTTCACTTTAATTTGAGGTGAATAAAGATTTCGGACATTCATAAATTATGAATTCATGCCTGCACATTCACTTTGGAACCATGCATACACATTCCCGTCCGAAATCACGGACATTCATAAATTATGAATCCATGCCTGCATATTCACTTTGGAACCATGCCTACACATTCACTTTGGAACCATGAGATTATGAATTTTCTGTTATAAGATTATGAATTTTCTGTTATGAGATTATGAATTTTCAGTTATGAGATTATGAATTTTCTATTATGCGATTATGAATTTTCTGTTATGAGATTATGAATTTTCATTACATTCATAATTTCGGACATTCATAAATTATGAATTCATGCCTGCACATTCACTTTGGAACCATGCCTACATATTCCCGTCCGAAATCACGGACATTCATAAATTATGAATCCATGCCTGCACATTCACTTTGGAACCATGCCTGCACATTCACTTTGGAACCATGCCTACACATTCACTTTGGAACCATGAGATTATGAATTTTCTGTTATAAGATTATGAATTTTCTGTAATGAGATTATGAATTTTCAGTTGTGAGATTATGAATTTTCTGTTATGCGATTATGAATTTTCTGTTATGAGATTATGAATTTTCATAAAATTCATAATCTCATAACAGAAAATTCATAATTTGATCAAACGCCCGTTAACTCCACATCCGCGAATTTTTTTTTTTTTGCCTAAAAACGACGTCGTTTTGCCTTGTGTTCACCATTCTCGGTGAACACGATTCCATGGCATAATTTGTGACTCTACCATCCGAAAAATGACACTTTATCGCTGAATTATATACGTGTAGCACTTTTTTCCCTGAATTATTCATGTACATAGTAGCCCCTTACTTATTCTAAAAGTTGCGATTTTCCCTCTCTGATATACTAAATAAACATTTTTACACTTAAAATAAATATTTCATTTATTTTTCTTCTCCAACAAATTATTGCTTATATGTAGGGATGAGTGGATGACCACAGTTTTGTTCGAACTGAACCAGACACTATAGCAATCGAATCGAAAGGTTCCGGTTATGATTCAGAACCAGAAACTAATATTTTGGGTTTCAATTTATTAAAATCGCGAACTAAAAAAACTGGATCCTGAACCGTGAACCGATGGTTCGAAATCGGAACAGCTACTAGCATTAGCTTAAAAGTAGAATTATAATATTTGTAAATAGTGTATGTTCTTTTTCACATTTATTCCGATTCTCACATATAAGTAGATATGACTGCGATTCGGTTCTGATTTTGAATCGCCGGTTCACAGTTCTAGATCTATTTTGAACCGTTGGTTCAAACTTTTATTATTATTATTTTTTAAATAGTTTAAATTCAACAATTAATATATATATTTTTTCAGTTTGTAACTGAAATCAGCCGTTCCGGTTAGCTATTTTGATAAACCGAAACCCAAATACCTGCTTTACTATATTTATTTTCTGCATTGCATTATAAATTGTAACCTCCTCAAGAGAGGAGGGCATCCAATAATCTTCCTTAGTCTTTAAGCTTTAGTAGCTAAGCAAGAGCCTAAAACTCTTGTGGGGCAAGAGCCTAAAACTCTTGTTGGGGAAAGTCTTGTGACTTCCTGTTTCTTTTCTTTAGTTTCTAGTCAATAAAAATACCTCCTGATTCTTTTCTCTAACATCTTACATTGGTATACACCACAATACCGAATGATACTTTGATAAATTCTAAAACACTAATTTAAAAAGGGATAACAGTCAAATAGACCCTTCAACTATAGGTCAAAATGCAATTAGCCCCTTAAACTAAGAAATACTCCAATTAGACACTTCATCTCTTCACTTTGATGCAATTTAGCCCATAACTTATTAAATTTGTACAATTAACTTATTTTGCAGGTAAATTCAAGATAATAGCAGATAAATTTGAATTTTTTTATAAAAAATAATTTTAAAATAAATTTAAAAAACATATTTCCACTGGCCGGCGAGAAATACTTTGGCAGACAACGTCGTGTTCACGTAGGTGGCGGAGCTCATCTCTATTTGACAGATTCTGACTGCGCAGAATAACTTTTCCGACAACTCCTCTTCCGACTGCGATTCTTTTCTGATGGACATTGACGATGGCCATGATTTCGTGTTCTGAAACTATAACTCAGGCAACCCATTTGATTTTCTTGTTGATTATCTTGTTCCATGGTTTTCATCCCGGAATGAAAGGAAAGAGATGTAGGAATACGAATACCACTGATGATAGTAGAAAGGCATGAGTGACAACAACAAATATTGCGCTCCACTATTTTGGAGGTTGTTGTTTGCTAGGATAAATGTGCCACAATGCTTATCTGAGGTATTTGATAATTTTGGTTTTTGGTTTTCATTTTTTCTTGTTGATTTTCCTGGGTTTTGATTATGAAAAGCTAAGAAAGAACAACAAAAATGCTTGAGAAGAAGAATTTTCGTTTTTGCTTTTCATTTTTTCTTGTTAATTCTCCTGTTAAATGAGTTATGATTATGAAAAGCTAAGAAAGAAGTGAAAGAACAATGGAAATGCTGGTGATGAAGAAGAAGAAAGAATGGTTTTTGCTTTTCATTTTATCTTGTTGATTATCCTGTTAAATGGGTTTTAATCCCATGTCGATTGTGACAGGTGACGGTGAAGACACCGCTGCCAGAGGTTTTTTTTTTTTTTTTTTTAATTAATTACTTTATATTAATAATATGTTTTTAATTAATTTTTTAAATTAAAAAAAAAAAATGAACGGTTACTTAGAGGTAACCTGTTAAATAACTTAATTGCATACAAATGAGAAGTTAAAGTGCCTAATTGGAACTTTTCTAAGTTTAGGGGGCTAATTGCACTTTGATCTATAGTTGAAGGGCCTATTTGACCCTTATCCTATTTAAAAATACACATTAGGCATTGAACTATTCGCGCAAAATTTCATCAAATTTCATTGTACTGATAATTCATATATAAAATGGGATGGAGTCCATGATGTATAAACTAAATAATCAAAGAATCAATAACTCTTTCTTCTAACCTAATATTTAGACAAATAATTTCATGACACCATCAAATATCTTATGCTAATGTTTGACTAACTACAGCTCTATGCTTTTCAAATTACAGTTTTACAGTAAACTAAAGAATGCTTAGCTCCCTCTACAATCTCTCAAATCAGCCCCCTGTAAGGATTATTGCAGGTTTGAACAGGCATGCCAGGACCACAAGAATTAATGGCTGAACCACAGAAAGGGTTTGTAGCATGTTGCAGCTGAGGAGACGTCATCGTCGTCATCATCATCATTTGTTGTTGCTGCTGAAACGCGAAAGCGTGTTGTTGGTTGGCCACAGCAGCCGTCTGAACTGAAGGCGGGGTGCTGGCGGCCAAGCTCGAGGCGTAGAATGGATGATGTTCTGGTTGTGGCATCACGAGGGCGGCTTTTTGTGATGGTTCCCATGGATTATAATAGCTTAAGCTTTGGTTTCTCCTTGTGATTGCGTCGTCATACAGGCTATCGAGTGTAAGTTTGTCCAGTCCTCTGGCCTTTTTCACCAAAGCAGGAAGTATCAATACTAAGTATGAATGCTAAAAGGAAACATGCTTGTCATAATGCATGTAGCTAAGGAAAAGTCTTAAAAATATAGTATTTGTGCATAAATAAATAACTAAAAATTTAAGAAATGAAGAAAGAAAATCCAGAAAATACTAATACCAGCTTGCTAGCAGTTGCAACACTCTCAATGGAGCTGGGAGCTTCTGCAAGTGCCAATTCCCAGGCTGTAGCTCCATTTGCAGGATTTCGACCATTGGCCGTTTGGTCAGCAGAATCTACACAAAACAGTGCCAATTTTGGAAACTGAACACACTATAATATATTCAGCAGTATTTGGAAACTGAAGTCCATTTGTTAATTTTCATCATCTATTGAGATTATGGTGCAGTTTAAGTCTTAATAGAAATTTACCAGGTGGTACAATCGCTAAAGCAACAGCATTTTTCTCGTCCAATTTAGTAACAGCTGGAGCAGGATCTTTCTGAGACTGGGAAAGAGCATACAGTAAGGATTTGTAGGAAACCAAAGAAAACACACACATATACGAGACACTAATTCATACCAACAGATTAGGTGGTTCTGCCACTAGAGATTTTGTTTTGATATCTTTTGCATTTGGTTCAGGCACAAGTTTTGGTGGAGGTAGGGGCGGGGATCTCGCCTCTGTGACCTCTGGTTTCTTTTTGTAGTCTGTAGCCAAAATCACTTTGGATTTGTTATCAACGGCCTGCTTTGTTTTAGTTACAAGTGGTAAGAGAAGTTTAAAACACACAATAAGTAAAGAATTTATATAGGATGTTAGTAAATGAAAGAGGAACAGGTTAGTCAAACAAATATTGCAAAGCTTCATTAGACTTTTAAGTTTTAATGTTTGTGGATATAAACTCCCTTCAAATAAGAGCAGACTTTAAATGAGAGTTTCTTACTGAATCCTTGAGAAATGTAGAAGGTCGAGGTGCTTCTTTCACACACTCCTCCATGGTTTGCAGAAATAATGTAGGCGGCTTTGATAATAAAAACAGAAGTGAGATGTGAGGGAAAAATTCATTAAAGTAACCAATATACCATAAATTTTCAGAAAAGAGTTATAGTACCCGTTCAATCGTGATGAATTTTTCTCCCCGACCCACATCAAGTTTTTTGCATATTTCATAAAACTCTGAGAGCTTCTCTGCCTAACAGCATAGAAATAAATGTTTATTATGAAGATTGTTTGAATGTGGAAGCTCAACTAAAGGAGAATATCAGAATACCTGCTGGCCAGCCTTGCGATATATATCCAGAGCTCTAAGAGCATTTTGCCGTTTCATCTCAAAGAACTGTCAAGTGTCAGCTTTGGCATTACCATTGCTGTTTATTAAGAAAACCCAAAAAAAAAAATTAAAAAAAATCAACCATGTATATAATAAAACTGAGTGTACCTTGTCAACCAAAGTAGCTGTGCCATCACTTATAGCATTGTAGATTTTTATGCTTTCCAAAGCAACCTATTCCAGAAATATCAGATGATTAGATGCCCCCAAACAATGAAAGTTAATCACTACTAATAAACCAATAAGAAAAACCCCAGCTACCATAGATAGTGCTGATTGAATCACATGATTATGCATAGCTGCCCCTTGCGGCTGCAAAGAAGTTGCACAAGGAGTGTCATCAATAATCAGTCAGAGACATGAAAAAGCTAAACTCGTTGGAGTAAAGACGTTCAGTTTATGACATTTTTAGGGGTCAAGTGTGTTGTTCAAATTCAAGAAATGCCACCTTTCAAAGATAATTGGCAAGCCACGTTAGAATCATAATCAGATAAGAACCAACCTTAACCTGCGAACTGTGAACTTCTGAAGGATTACAACGCAACTATAACATGATTGCACCGCTATGGCTCCAGACATGCCTGGAGGACCTTAAGGTGGAATTGTATCTGGGTGCGGTGCACCCATTCAGAAGTTCGCAGGTCCGCACGTTAAGGTCAGTTTGAACCTGATTATGGACCCGCCACATTAAACTGATGAAAACAGTAAATTACCTGACAACCAATAACACAATGTAGAAGCTGTTGCAGTGCTGGTAACTGCTCAAGCAACTCTAAAGTGTCCAACTCTTTGGATCTCTTCATTAAATGTAATGAAAAAGTATGCTTAGAGGAAGTAGGATTGAATCTGACTTGAACCAAGAATATTAAACTTCACAAATCAGAATACAAAGTATACTACTACAGTAAGTTTATTGCATACGTTTAACAAAATAATACTGATTCAACTTTTTTCCTCACCGTATAATAAGTCTCCACATCATATTTCAATATTCGGAAGCATTCCAGCCTCTCTTCCAAATATAATGCATAACTACGAACCCAACCAGAGTAATCCCATGCTGAATAATGGATAAGAACACAATTTAGCATAGAAGAGCCTACACTTACAGAACTTCTGATAATTAGCAAAATTAGTGAACCATACCATTAGGACTTGAGTCATCCTTAAAATGAGTCATGTTAAGCATGTAACTCCTGCTCTGTCCATAGTTAATAAGTTCCTCATGGAATGTCAGATCCACCTCTCTCAAAGCACGATGAATAAGAATCAACGTTTTCAGTGCAACCTGTAGATAAAAGTCAGGCAGACAGAACTTGGAACTTCCCAGGAGCAAATTATCAGTCACTGAGCAGATATCTAAACACTTTGTTTACTTTTCTGTTAACACTAAATATCCATACAACATATTAGACCCGAGACCTAGAGTAGAAACAGGTCTTCGTTGAAAAACTTCAGACAAAGCAAAACAGATCTCTTCAAAATATAATTTTCCCTAAAATGTTGATATTAGATAGGGGGATCATACCGCCCAGTTATGCGTCTTTGACAACCGTCTTTCAAGAGCATGTATGCAGTATGCAACATCATCTCGGTGTCTGGTAGCCAAAATGGCAGCAAAGACAGCTGAAAAATGCATTGCAAAAACTATATCAAGTTCAATCCAGGACACACACACACACACACAAACAACATGCCCCTCATATGCACACCTTTAATCTGTTTCTCATTTGCTGGCTGTTCAACATGATTTGTTGCCTTAACAATCGCAATATCCAACTCCTGTTGACCATTCATTCACCCAAAATCAAAAATCGAATGCATAAAACCACAAGAGAATAAAGAAATTAAAACATTTTGTCTGTACCTTGTAATGGCTGTTTATTTTAGCTACAGTGGCAGTGGTGGTATCCTTAAGTGCTCCAAGTGTTTTTCTCAAGCTTTTCTTCGTCCCTCCTCCTGACATTTTCAAAATTATACCTTCCACAGCTACACCATCACAACAGCCCAAATTTCAGTGTTCTGAAGCCATTTTACTATATATATATATATATATATATATATATATATAT